TCCTCCTCCTCCTCCTCCTCCTCCTCCTCCTCCTCCTCTTTTGTCTTTTTGAGACAGGGTCTCACTATGCAGTTCTGGTTAGCCTCGAGCTCACTTTGAAGCCCACGCTGATCTCAAACTCACAATGATCCTCCTGCCTCAGCCTCCCGAGTGCTGGGATCACAGGTGTGCACCACCATGCCCATCCTCAGCTACTGTATTTCTTAAGGAAATTTTAGGCCTAGAGAAAATTGAGCTGAAAAGTGTGGTGAGTTCTCATGTTCCCTGGCACTGTCTCCTGTACTTTCTCCTTTTATTGACATCATGCTTTTTATGTGATGTGTTTGTTCTCAATGATGAGCCAAGATTGAATTATTATTATTATTATTATTATTATTATTATTATTATGTTTATTTATTTTTGCGGAACTGGGGATTGAACTCAGGCCCTTGTGCCTGCCTCTACTGAGCCATCTCCCCAGCCCCTTATTGTTGTTATTATTATTACATTATTAGTTTTTTGAGGCAGGGTCTCATTGTGTAGCTGAGGCTGGCCTCAAACTCAGCAATCCTGCTTTCGCTCCCAAGTGCTGGTGTTATACTCCCAGCTTGATACATGATTATTAATTAAAGTCTCAGTTCCCTTTAGGTCCCCCGTCTTGTGTGTTCTGTGGGTTCTCAGTGGCTGATGATGTGGATAGTCACCATTTCACTGTCACTCACACCTGATTTAGTGCCCTAAAAATGCCCACAGCCCACCCACTGCCCTCCTCCTGCCTGGTCCCTGCCACTGCTGGCCACACCCCATCTCCGCAGTTTGTGCCTTTTCCTGAATGTCACACAGTTGGGACCCTGCAGTGTGGCTTCTGTCACTTGGCAAATGCATCTGAGCTTCCTCCACGACTCGAAGTGGCTCTGGAGCTCTTTGCTTTCCATCACTGAATAATATCCCGTGAGTGGATTACCACAGCTTGCTTATTTGGATAAGACTTCAAGTGTAGATCTGCTGCAACTATGTTACTGTTGAGTTATAGTAGTCAGGTTTATAGTACCTGTAATTTTTCATTTCATAAAATTTCTACTTTGCATTTATTCTGGAAATCTGGGAATTTCAATTTTTCTAGGGGAATTTAGTCTTTCTTCTGTTCTTTTTCTTTTCTTTCTTTCTTTTTTTTTTTTAAGTACTGGGGACTGAATCCAAGGCCTGCCACTGAGCTACATCCCTTGTACTTTTAAGTTTTTTTCACACTTGAGACAGAGTCTTGCTAAAGTGCCCAGGTGGGACTTGAACTTGCGATTCTCCTTCCTTAGCCTTCCAAAGTGCTGTAATTATAGGTGTACACCAGTGAGGCCAGTGGAGTTGTGTCTCTTCATGTGTGATCCTTCCAGGAAACATCAGTGGAGCTGGCCTGGTGGCATACACCTGTGATCCTCCCATTCAGGAAGCTGAGGCAGGAGGGTTACCATCGGTTTAAGCCCAGCGTGGGCTCCATAGTGAGACCCTATTCAGGAAAATGACAACAACAACAGAAAGCCAAGGAGATAGCTCTGTGGCATAAGCTCTTGCCTGGCAAGCTCAAGGACCTGGGTTTGATCCCTGGCACCCCATGCTGTGCCCAGAAACCAGGCATGGTGGTGCATGCCTGTAATCCCAGTGCTGGGGAGGCTGAGACAGTGAGGATCACTATGAGTCCAAACTGCATAGCAAGACACTGTATGAAAAAGAAAAAAATTAAAGCTGGGGGCTGGGGAGATGGCTCAGTGGAATAAGCGCTTCCCTGGCAAGCGCAAGGGCCTGAGTTCAATCTCTAGTTCCAC